GTTGATGATCAGGGCATAAAAGTGTTGATGGCTCCTATCGGGAGGATGGTGGATTGTTTTCTGTAGGCAGGAAGACTTCTGAAGCCACAGCTGGAGATTATCTAAATACTATTATCTAATTATTTTGGTTTTCCTATCTATATTTCTGTTCTTATTGTAATGGACATCAGTCTCAGTCATGGTGCATGCTATATTTCTATCCTTATTGCTATTGTAATGGATGACTCGTGGCTAGCTTATCTAAATTTTCATTGAAGTTCTGTGTAGAGTATCTTTGCCGGCTAACTGATATATTGTATGCGTTGGGTTCATTCACATATTGCTTCTGATGATATATATCATGTATGCGGATGGTGATATTGTTGAGAGGTGTAGGGTGGATCACACAGTTTATGCCATAACTGATCACCTTTCTTTGTGTTGAGTAATAAATGTTTTTATCTATAGAAACTACTATTATAAATTCTATATTAAGGATCATGATTTCTTGTGACAAAGTCTTGGACGTTAAGACTCTATGGGTAGAGTCTGGGTTGGGAGTGACCTGAGGTCCATCGAGAAATGAATTTATGGACTAAGGTGCACCGGACCAATCAAAGGTAGTCTTGCAACTGAAGAAACCTTTGTGTCGGGAAAGCCGGGCAACCGGGCAAGTGTCTGTCCTTCCCAACTAAAATAAGAGAAACGGTGGGACCATCACGGACCCTTGAATTTATTTGTGCAATCGGGCACATATGCCCCCCGATGCATGATTTCTCATAGACCCCTCGAAAGAAAATCCTACTGTAGTCCGGGGACTGACCAGTTAATTTTAGGGCGTGTTTACATGCAATTTTTTTTTTTTTTGGTTACGGTAGCACTTTCGTTTATATTTGGTAATTAGTATCTAATTATGGACTAATTAGGTTCGAAAGTTTCGTCTCGCGATTTCTCACCCAACTGTGCAATTAGTTTTTTTTTTCGTCTATATTTAGTACTTCATGCATATGCCGCAAGATTCGATGTGATGGGTAGTGCGTAAATTTTTTTTTGGAACTAAACAAGCCGTTAGTGGCTGTGTCTGTGTTGTTTTCACAAGAACAGTAGTACGTACTAGGCAACTAGCACATATACTAATCCATGGCAAGAGAGAGAGATTGTTGGCTCCAGCAGATGCGGTGCGGACGCCAACACCAAACCGAAGCAGGACGGAGAATCAATGGACGTGGTAAACAAGCGCCGGTTTCTCGGCTGGGGGCATAAAAAGGCGATCAAAGCCGTCTGCTGTACCCTGTCGTGTCATGGACTTGGAACGAAAGATTTTCCGCAAAGGAACCCGTGATCCTTTATCGCGCCACCCCGGTACGCTCGCTCGCCAACTCGACCGCGCCCGAGAGTACGATGGAGATCATGGGATCCTGTGGTTCGACGGATGGGATAGGCATCATTTCCTGGAAAGGATGGAGCTGCCAACTTCCCTGGCTTGACCTCCTTGTCCATGGCTACACGCACAGCGAGCAGTGAGCACTGTCAGCGACTCAGCGGTAGGGAGAACAAGGGCTGAGCTGTTGCAGCGTGAGCTGCTTGGCTAGCTATCTTTGCTTTCTTTTTCCAGTCAACGGATTAGCAGTGTAGTAACCTGTCGCAGCGGTGCTGGGGGTAGAAGTCAATACCACGCATGTGGGGGCGTCTGAATCGCGTAGCACACCATGTCCTGAGATTCTGATGCCCGATACCGAATTACTCCTACTCCACGCCGCTGAGCTGAGCGAATCCTGGAGGCCGTAGAGCGAGTGTGTGAGTACGGCTACGCGCTTTCATGGCTTTGGACCTGGACAGAATTCCATCGTCGCCACTAAAAATTATAGCACTTTCTTCATTGCCATTAAAATTTTCAAAATTCCCTCACAGCCATCAGATAAAATTTGCGTTTCTCTGACTGCCATTTCCGTCACTAGCAGTTAGCAGCGCTGTTAGATGGCATGGAAGACCCTTTTGCCTCCTCTGTTCCCAGGTCGCTGGCCTTCGGAAGGTCTGTTCAGGGTGTTCGACATTGGTTACAACCATGTCGAGTGCGCCCCTGCGTCTACGCCGGCTCCTTCGTCGAGCTCGACCATGACCTTGGCGTCGGCTCTTAGTCACTCACTGCGGCACCCTTCGCAGCTGGCCGGCTGGGTGCGGCAGTTCATCTTTTTCGCCGTCCGTGTCATGGCGTTCGTCTCCTACCACGACCTCGCGGAACTGGTGCACCTCATCCCGTGCTCAACCTGGACGTGCTCGTCTCCGTCAACTTCGCCGCGGATATGAATCACTTCGCCAACGCGTTCGCCCAGGACGTGCTCGTCTCCGTCGTCTTCGCAGCAGATGTGGAGCACTGCGCCCTCGAGCCCGAGGTTGCGGTACGCCGCCGGTGCTGGTTACTTGGATCTACAGCCCGCCGTCGACTCGTCTAGCAGTACCTACACTCTGGAGGAGCACGCCTGGTTCGCCTGGGAGCGCGGAAGCGGATCACGGTGGGCACCCCGTTGTTCGCTCGTACCCGCGCGCTGCCGCTCGCTCGTCGCCGCTGGCGGCCTCGCCGCCACAGCTCGCTGCTTGCCCTACAGCGGTGTTGCCGCCCGCCTCGCTGCGTGCCCGGCGGCCGTGCACCGACGCCGTGTTGGACCCACAATCGGAGCTAGTGAGTGCCTGTGATTGCAGATTGCAGACGGGATGCCCGTGAACTCCTGCACCATGGCGCGGAAGTTGGAGGCGTCGGTAATGAGCACCGTCGTGGGCGCCCGCCGCGACACACGCGTCCGCTTCCATGACCCCCTTCGTGGCTGTGCCAGCGCGGGCGCGCCCATCGCCGCCCCCTGCACCTGCCCCTGCGCAGCCGCCACACGGTCGTGTCAACAGCCTGCTGGCACCCTCCCACGCCCGAGTCGGGTTGCGCGACGCGAGGGGACGCGGAGGAGGCCCCGAGGCGCCAACGACCGTAACGGAGGAAAAATGGTGGGATCCGGTTTTAACGGAAGTGGCAACGAGGAAACACAAAAATTATTTGATGGCAGCGAAAGAATTTTGATGGCAACGAAGGAAGTGTTATAATCTTTAGTGGCAACCAAGAATTCTCTCTTGAACCTTTTTTACTCCAGAAAACGCAAAACGCAGTGGCGCGGAGGGAGTTGTACTGCTCCTATGTGAGAACGGCAAGAAAATCGTGTTCGTGTCGGCGTGCAGCGCAGCTCCGTGATTCGCTCGTCCCTCTCCCTCCGGTCTCCTGCCATTGGTATCCGGACTTGAGTTTTCACATCACAAATTCACACGGGAAGCGAGCGAGTGCTCGGCGACACGGCTTGCCCGAGTTCCCAAAAGGAGGACAGGGCCCATAACTTGGCCTGTCTGATGATTGATTAAGCTCTGTCATCAGTGCCCTAACCTCTATGAGGTTATGATACTAAAGTGGCCGTACTAACTGGATTTGGGAATAGGAGCATTGTACTGGCTAATTCAGGCCCGTGGTCTCGTGTGGCACAACTTCACCAATAGCTCTCGTGAGTGATATTTTTTTCTCCAAACACTCCTATTCGAAATAGCTTTAAGGGTGAAACCCATTTTTTCCCCTCTCACATCTCACATAGGGATGGCGTGGGATGAAACTTAAAAAAGTAGCTTATCTCAGCTTCATCTAGACTAACACAAGTGGGCCCTAGTAGCACAAAAGATTGTATGTGCCCTTAGCGTGAGGGCCATAAGCGGCACAGCCTACCTGGAGCGTGGTCGCAGGGGACGTGGCCTGCCGGGGGCGCTACATGCCGGTGCCGAGGATGCAGACTACCAAAGCGCTGGCTGCTGGGCGCCGAGGGGAGGGGGTTGGGTTGAGTCGGAAAGGAATTAAAAAAAGCACTATGATAATTTTAGTCTTTTTGTCCATCATATGAACCTATTTTACCTTAGGTTAAGAAAACAGCTCAGCTTCAACGGTGGAGCCATTTATTATGTTGAAAAAAAAACAGCACACTAATGAAGCTAAGCCGTGCCAAACGACTTCAGTGCGACTCGCTTGTGCTTGAGTAGTACTGACTTGGCCACAAGTGTATAGTGTTGCATGTTCCTGCAGCACAACAGCATGATGAAAAATAGTGATGGATGCTGCGCCATAGATTGCATAAGGCGGAATCCCCGGCATCTTCACTTGTTTGCTTTTAATTACTCTCGCTTTTGGAGATGCTGATGGTTTTCAGCCGCTTTGTCCCCAACCACTTGACTAAAGTGAATGCAAAGTGCCATATACGCGATAAGTGCCATATACGGGATCTTATCGGTTTGCATTGTTGCTGAGTTTCATAAGCTCGTCGTGTCGCACAATCATACTCCAGTACATGGCATCCACACGAAGAGCAGCAAAGAGCCGGGAAAGGAAGAAAAAAAAAGAGTTCCCAGTAATTATCGGGGAAAAGACCTCGCCTACTCGATGATATAGACAGAACCACCCCATGCCCTTTTTTTCCGTGCTCGACGAAGGCCTCGTCCGCTTCTTATAATTCGTATTTTTAATTTATTTTTTAAATTAAAATATATTTTTTTCTCACGTCAAATTAGTTGGAACAGTGTCTACGGGTGAAAAAGCGAAAGGCAGGCGCACTCTCGTCTCTAGAGCCTGCAGTAGTATTGACCACTGCTGCCACAATTCTCACGCAGGCCCTGTGAAAACAGAATAGTGGAGTGGCCAGCAAAGTGACAAAGGAAAAGGGAATCGCCATCAGCGTGTGACCCCATAAAAAGCAGGGCGTGGGCGGGGGACGGGCAGAGCAGAAGCAGAGCTGCCTCCAACTCCAACCCACCACCAGACGAGACGAGAGGAGAGCCAGCGTTGAGCACTTGAGCAGTGCCCTCGTCTCATCTCCTATCTCCCCGCCAAGTGCTCAGTCTCACACTCCCACTTCCCAGTCTCGCACCCCGTCCCCTGCAGCTTGTGCTCTGGGTCGGAGGGAGCTGAGCTGCGAGGGAGCGCGGAGGGGGCGAGGGGGCTTTAGGAGATGGAGCCAGATTCGGCGAGGAAGAGGCTCGCATTGCTGACGCTGCTGCTCCTGGCGGCGCCCGCCCGCCCGGCCTCGGCGGCTCCTGTGGAGGATGGTATAGTCTCTGCTCCCTTCTGTTCTCGCCCTCCCTTCACCGATTGCTTGTTTTTTACTCTTAAATGTGTTCATTCCTGCCTGAACCGCTCATTTGGAGTGGAGCCGGCTCGATACGAATCGTTGTGAAATCTTCAGCTAGAGCTTCGAGTCGAGGGCGGCTTTCTTCTGCCTGCCTCTGCACCAGATCTCACCGGCTGAAAAAATTGGGATTTCAGCTCCTTCCTCTTGTTAGCACTGCTGAGCTTACGAGCGTACTAACGAAGCACTAACTGCAAAAAGTTTTAGGAGGGTAGCGGAAAAGTAGTGTTATTAGCACTAGTGTTTGCCTGTTTGGTGCGATGTCTGATGTAGTGCAAGAACGTAACTTTGTGCATTTGGTTGGAGCACACACACATATTTGCACTGGCGAGAAAGGGGAGGAGCTGTGCCAACTGCAAAGCGAGGCTCCTCCTTTCTAAGTACAGTGGCATCTTTCTAAATGTTTGCTCATAGGCAGGGAGGATCAACCAGATACTAGGTAGCTTCAAACACAGTGTAGTTATGCACATACTTTATCCTTCGGAACTCATACCTCAGTTCAGACAAAAAATGTGAACTGCTGAGCTCTAAAGATTTTCGGCGCCCTGTTGCTTGTGACAGCTCTGCCCCAAAACGGAAATGTACCAAATCTTTCCTCTCTCGGTTATACTGCATGAGCTTGGTCTTGCAGTGCATTCACTTATTAAGGCTCACACTTGCTGATGCGAATCATGTGATGCATTTTGTGTTTGAAAATGACCTAGTAACCATCAAGTGGGCTGCCTTGCAAGTTGAGAAAGACGTTCTGTTGGATGTGTAAAACAATGCAAAAAAAAAAAATCTTGTCTTGACAAAACACCACGTAGATTTACACAAATAAATCCATGGGCATTTTATTTTAAAGTAAAGTCGAAACACGCACCTACTCAGTTTTAATAGGTGTTTATGACACCACCGCGAAGGACGAGGTCAGAACAAAGTCAAAAGGAAATCTGAGCTGCTGTAGTAAACTCAGATCTAGACGGAACAGCAAGGCACAGCTGACCTTGTATACTGCAGAGTGCTCATTGAACCCTCTCGTGAGAGTCAAATAGCTTGTTCAGAGGGTGACCGTGCTGTGGAGGTCCATGCCTATCTATTTATGTCCGTACCTTCATCACCTCCCCATATTCACGCCATGATCAATGGTGCTCTGGACATTTAGGTCTGGAGTTTGGACCACTCATGGGGTACCCAGTGGGGTGGATGGTTGGTAGATGTTTCACTTTCACGGCCTCACCACATAAGATCGATGTGCATAGTCACATGGTCGTCCTTGTGAGAACAATGAAGCATAGTAAAGTGGTCTAGTAGTAGTACCCCGATGAACTGCATTGGAGGTACAATAGAAAAAGTTGGACATGTTTTCCTAGTGTTTTGCCGGTAGGCACTGCTGAATTTAGCCGTTGAAAAAACGATTACTATGGGGGGTTTGTTTAGTTTAACTGTTTTTCTCCATTTTCCTGAGACTGTACTTTTCTCATTCCTGTTTGAGGACAGTTGTGTAAGCTCTGCAAATTAACCTTCCCAAACTCTATTGCGATTGTTTGTTTCATCTGAAGTTGCATATAAATATATAATGAGCACAGAATAGTCCCAGTAAGAATACCCTAAATGAGATCTGTGTTGGGTTTCCTCACTGTGATACTACCATGCACTTGTCTGGGTCTATTCAGTGTCATTTAATTCTTTGTGGACTGTAAACTTGTTTAGCACCTATGCCATAAATGGAGTTTATCACTTATCGTACTAGATTTCACTGGTCAAACTTACTATCCATCCTATGCAACAAATGCAAAGCTAGTCTCTTATTATAATTTCCTCTACCAGCATAATATCTTGATGGCAAAGGTACACAAATCATGGAGCAGATATTAAGTACTCTTTGTGATGATATTGTTTTCTACGTTAAGCAGAAAGTGTTCCGAGGAGCAGCAATATTGTGATTGTAGTGAAATTAATACTAAATTTACACTTACAATGATTAGTGATTTCTTGGTTTCTTGCACTACAGGCCTGCTCAGCAATGGTGACTTTGAGACAGCACCAGCCGGTGGTTTTGTAAAATCTGCATCTGTTGCTGAGGGTGCATCGTCAATCCCTGGTTGGACGATCAATGGCACAGTTGAACTCATTTCAGCAGGCCAGCACCAGGGTGGCATGATCCTCATTGTTCCACAGGGTATCCCCTCAGTGCTCTTGTCAACACCCCCCCCCACCCCCCACACACACACCCACCCACCCAATAGTTGTGCTTAAACTTCTGTATTTCTGTGGCAGGGGACCATGCTGTAAGGCTAGGGAATGATGCTAGCGTTGGGCAGGTGGTGGACGTTGAGAAGGGCTCGGAGTATGCTATCACATTCAGCGCTGCCCGGACATGTGCACAACTGGAGGCACTGAATGTTTCCGTGCTAGGTGGTGTATCACAGACAGTAGACTTGCAGACATTGTACAACATAGAAGGCTGGGATGCGTACGCGTTGGCTTTTCAGGCAACGGAAGAGCAGGCACATCTTCAATTCATGAACCCTGGCATGGAGGATGATCCGACCTGTGGTCCTATCCTAGACAACGTTGCCGTCAAGAAGCTCTTCACTCCAGACAAACCAAAGGGTATGTGACTTATTGGAAGTTAACACAAAAATGCAATTTCATTCCAGCTGTGTGTTGCGATTGATTTCAGCAAGTCTTGTACAATCTGAAGTGTTCTAGCTCATTTCTTAGGTTATGAGATGTTGTTTCTGTTGTCAACAGATAACGTGGTGCTGAATGGAGACTTTGAGGAGGGTCCATGGATGTTCCCGAACACGAGCTTTGGCGTGCTGCTCCCAACTAACCTTGACGAGCAGACATCTGCCATACCTGGTTGGATGATCGAGTCAAACCGCGCTGTCCGCTACATAGACTCTAATGAGTACAAGGTTCCCCAGGGGAAGCGTGCCATTGAGCTTCTGTCAGGCAAGGAGGGTATCATCTCCCAGATGGTTGAGACGACCCCTCAGAAGGTTTACAGCCTGACGTTCACACTGGGCACGGCGGGGGACTCGTGCCAACCACCAATGGCCGTCATGGCGTTCGCGGGGGATCAGGCCCAGAATTTCCACTACTCCCCAATGGGCAACGCCACCAGCCAGGCTGCGAATGTGACGTTCACTGCACGTGCTGAGAGAACACGTGTGGCATTCTACAGCGTGTACTACAACACGAGGAGTGACGACCACAGCTCGCTGTGTGGGCCGGTGATTGACGACGTCTGGGTATGGGGTTTGAACGCAGGGGCTGGGTTGAAGGCAAGTATTGGACTGGTTATTGGCATTGTTGGTGTCGTTGCCATGGTGTTGTTCTGAAATCTGAATCTCTCTGGCTGTGGTCTTGGGAAGTATGGATGTATAACCTCTTCTGTTTTGGTAGTAAGCTTGAAGTTTGTTGGGTGATATGAGCTTAGGCTAAAAAGCTACCAGAACCTACATGTTATTGCTTGTGTTACTTCAGTTGTGATTTCCGAAGTAACATGCAATTATATTGGATTGTGTGGTTTGTTTGCCCTAGCTTGTAATATGAGATGTCAGAATCGTTCTAAGTTCATCTCATCAATATATTAGAAAAGAGTAAAGTACAACAGCTAGCAATTGTTCTGAGTTTATCTCAATATACATCCTTTGTTCTTGAATAAATCAATTACTAGAGTTGTCTTAAGTTAAACTTTTTAAAATTTAATTGAATTTATAGAAAAGAGCATCCAGATTTGACATCAAATTAGTATCATAAGATACACAACGAAATGCAATATATTTTCATAATAGGTTCATTTGGTGTCATAAATATTGTTTTTTTTTTTTTATAAATTTAGTCAAACTTTACTATAAATATTTATAGTTGCACACTTTACCACTGTTAAATTAAAACTAAGTATAATGATATGCGTCACTGTTGGTCCATCGGCTGTCCTGCACAGGTAAGCAGTAAGCTTACCAGCACACTCACTCACTATGACTAGAGGTAGAAAAAGATATTGAAAACAGCTCACACACAGCACATGCCTAGCGCTGGTCGAAAAGCTGTGCTTCTGGATGTGGCAAACTAAACTGTTGTTTTGCATTGCCTTAGGTGTGATATATATAAGTGCTAGTACCTCTATCAGGTATATAGTTGTTGGTGAGTACACCAACTACCTACTCCTAAGATACACCAACTACACCTATTACTAGCGGTACAAAGCTTAGATCAGCCCACTATCAAGACATGACTGATGTAATAGCTACCAACTAATGTATTAGAGGTGGCCTATTACCATACTGCTATAGCAGTAGAGACTGGACAGCCGAGCTGATAAAATGCTAACTCTGCTGCAGCAAGAGAGAGAGAGAGGTCAGCAGCAGATTATGTCTTACAATTCTTTCCCTACTCCTGCTGCTAACCCGATGCCTTGACCTCATCCATGCCAATCATCTTCCTCAGCTCCATGAACCACAAACGCCCGAGTGACTTGGTGAGGATGTCAGCGAGCTATCTGCCGGTCTCGACGAACTCGATGACGATCTGCCCTCCATCGATGTAGTTCTAGAGGAAGTGGAACTTGATGTCAATGTGTTTGCTTCGGTCGTGGAGGACAGGGTTCTTGGCGAGGGCGATGGTGGGTTGGTTGTCCACCATCAGAGCTAGCGGGTGAGCTTCCTCGCCGGTCAGCTCGCCCAGCAGCCAGACAGCCTGACACGCTGAAAGGTCCTAATGGCTAGAGGGGGGTGAATAGCCTATTAAAAATTTCTACAATAACACTTAGCAAATCGGTTAGACAAATATAAGACGAAGCGAGTGTTGCGCTAGCTTACTAAAAATGCAAGCCACCTACCACAATTCTAGTTTCTATAGTCTTTATCCACACAATAGCTATGTCACTACACTAAGTTAGTGTGCTCTCAAAGGCTAACTAAAGAGCCACACTAACCAAGCTAACAAGCTCTGACAACTAGCTACACTAAAGAGTTTGATAACTAGTTTGCTGTAATATAAAGGGATAGAGCAAGATGGTTATATCGCTGAGTCGTGGAATGAATCAATCAATCACAAGAATGAATACCAATGAAGACTAATCGCCGCGGAATCAAATGATGACACAATGATTTTTTACCGATGTTCACTTGCTTGCCGGCAAGCTAGTCCTCGTTGTGGCGATTCACTCACTTGGAGGTTCACACGCTAATTGGCATCACACGCCAAACTCTCAAAAGGGTGCCGCACAACCAACAAAAGATGAGGATCACACAAGCCACGAGCAATTTACTAAAGTGCCTTTTGGCTCTCCATTAGGGAAAGGTCAAGAACCCCTCACAATCACCACTATCGGAGCCGAAGACAATCACCAACCTCCGCTCGACGATCCTCGCTGCTCCAAGCCGTCTAGGTGGCGGCAACCACCAAGAGTAACAAGTGAATCCCGCAGCGAAACACGAACATCAAGTGCCTCTAGATGCAAACACTCAAGCAATGCACTTGAATTCTCTCCCGATCGCACAAAGATGATGAATCAATGATGGAGATGAGTGGGAGGGCTTTGGTTAAGCTCACAAGGTTGCTATGTCAATGCAAATGGCCAAGAGGGTGAGTTTGAGCCGGCCATGGGGCTTAAATAGAGAGCCCCACGAATAGAGCCATTGGCTCTCAGTTCACTGAGAAATCAGGGTCATCGGACGTAGGACCCCAGCGTCCGGTCCTCAGATTTTCGCCACGTGTCCCCTGCTTCCAACGCTGATCGTCCGATCTCAATGGTCATCAGTACACTTAAGTTGTGACCGGACGCACTGCAGTGTAGGACCGGACATAGGACCCTAACGTCCGGTCACTTTCAGTAAGGTTCTAGAGGCGGAAATTTTCCACTGGACATGTCCGGTCACCCCTGACCGGACTCACCCAGTGTCCGGTCAACACACAGACCAAACTCCCGAGCGCCACGTCATTGGCACCGGACGCGCCAGAGTAGCGTCCAGTCAGTTTTATCAGCCAGCATCCTGTGCAACTCAGAGAGAGTCCAAAGAGCTCTCTGAGCGACCGGACGCGTCAGGGCACACATGACTGGACTCGCTCAGAGTCCAGTCAGTCTCTGCTGACTAACCGACGCCTAGGTTTAGCCACCGGACACGTCCGGTCCCACGAGAACAGCGTCCGGTGCACTCTGTGAAACCCTGTCTTTTCTGTACAGGGCGCCGGTGGCACCGTCGAACACTCCGCCGGTGAAGTTTCGAACCCTTGCTCCCAAGTGCTAAACACAATATGTATCACCTTTGTGCATGTGTGTTAGCATATTTTCACAAACATTTTCAAGGGTGTTAACACTCCACTAGATCCTAAATGCATATGCAATGAGTTAGAGCATCTAGTGGCACTTTGATAACCGTATTTCGATACGAGTTTCACCCCTCTTAATAGTACGACTATCGAACCTAAATGTGATCACACTCGCTAAGTGTCTTGATCACTGAGACGAAATGGCTCCTACCACTTATACCTTTGCCTTGAGTCTTTTGTTTTCTCTTTCTTCTTTTCAAGTACAAGCACTGGATCATCACCATGGTGTCACCATCATCATGTCATGATCATTTGCTTCACCACTTGGAGTAGTGCTACCTATCTTATAATCACTTTGACAAACTAGGTTAGCACTTAGGGTTTCATCAACTCACCAAAACCAAACTAGAGCTTTCACACGCCACCGTGGCTGCGTTGCGACGTACTCTGCCTCGCACGTTAACAGCGCCACGATCTTTTGCTTCAGCGGCTGCCAAGCAATGGGGGCCGCTCCAAGGAAGACAAGCACACGGAGGTGCTCCGTCACCTGTCGATGTCGCCCACCATGTCTGCGTCGCTGAAAACAGTGAGCTCTGGCTCACCTTCCTTTGCCTTGGGGGTGCCTCACTAAAGACCGTGAGCCGTAGCCCACCCTTGCCGCCACTCTTGGGGAAGACGATCGCTTGATCGAGTGTCCCCTTGACGTAGCACATCAGCCTCTTCACTGCCGTCTAGTGATCCTTGTGCGGGTCCTCCATGAAGCGACTGACATACCCGACCACGAACGTGATGTCCGACCAAGTATGCGTGAGGTAGCGCAGCCCACCCGTGATGCTCCGGTAGCGTGTCGCGTCCACCTTCGCCGCCATGCTGTGCTTGGACAGCTTTAGCCGCTCCTCCATTAGAGTTGCGCATGGCTTGCACTCTGCCATGCCGCTGCGCTCCAGCAGCTTCTCCACATAGGCACGCTGGCCCAGGGAGATGTGCTCCTTCCCCTGCCTTACCTCAATGTCGAGGTAGTTGGAAAGCACGCCGAGGTCGCTCATTTTGAAATGAGCAGCCATCTTGTGCTTGAAGCAGTCAACGTCCTCTATCCGCGTGCTCCAGTGACGATCTAGTTGTCCACATACACGCTGACGACGAGCTCCTTCTTCCCCCATCGCCGCGTGTATAGCGCGTGCTTTGTGGCGCAGCGAGGGAACCCAAGCTCGCCCAAGGTGACATCGAGCTTGACGTTCCACGCCCGAGGGGCCTGCCATAGCTCGTAGAGTGCCTTGCTCTGCTTGAGCACCTTGTGCTCAGCGTCCTTGACAGTGAAGCCCAGAGCTTGCTTGACGAAGACCGTCTCCATGAGCTCACCGTTGAGGAACGCAGACTTGATGTCAAGGTGGTGGATACGCTAATCCTTTGCTGCTACCATGGCCAATAGCAAGCGAACGGAGTCCATTTGTGCCACTAGAGCAAAGACTTCCTCAAAGTCGATGCCCTCACGCTGCACGATGCCGTGGGTGATGAGCCGAGCCTTGTATTTGATAATGGTGTCGCGCTCGTCCCACTTCACCTTGTAAACCCACTTCAACCCGATCGACCTGTAGCCCATCGGTGGATCCACCAGCTCCCATGTCCCGTTGTCCTTGATGGCCTTCATCTCTTCCAACATCGCCCGGCGCCAATTGGCGTCGCGTTCGGCCACTGCAAATGTTGATGGCTCCTCTGCACTGATGAGAAGCAGCTCTGGATCATCAAGCAGATGACTCACCAACCCAGGAGCTCCCCATTTGCCGATGATGTTGTCCACCCACCTGAGCCGGACCTCCTCACCGTTGTGGAAAGCGTCCACGTACTCGTCGATGTCGGTGGGTGGAGAGGCAAACTCCAATGGAGGTGTCCCCTGTCCTACCATCGTAGGGGACTGTGGTGGAGGTGAGTATTCCGCTGCTGGTGGAGACTGCTCGCCTGCGCTCACCATGGCTGGACTTGGCTGCTCCTCCTCGCCATCGTGGAAGGCATCCACAAACTCGTTGATGTCGCTCGGAGGGGAGGTGACCTCGATCGGTGGTCCCCT